TATATAATTTATTTTATAGTTTTAATTTTATTTATTATTTTTGTAAATTAATTTAAACTTAATTTTATATATATATATATATTTTTTTTTTAATTTTTTAATCAAGTGAATGAATGATAATAAATTAAAAATATTTTAAGTATATTTTAATTAAAAAATTATTTTTTGATCAATAATTAAATTAAAATTATTTTTAAAAAAATTATAATAATTATTCTTTAATGATATAAAATTAATATAATAGGCAAATGATAATAAAATTGTTGTATCTCTAATAGATATATAAAAGTGTATGTATTTAACATTTTAACATATGAAAAATAAATAGTGTAATACATATATTTCTTATAAAAGAAAAATATAATTTATATTAACAATATTAAGTTAATAAATTGTATATTTTAACATAAAAGAGAAGAGTAATATAATATCTTAGATTTTATATGGATACAATTAAAAACATTTTTAAGAGTTTTTTTTTATAAAAAATAAAGAATATTTTTTTTAGTAGAAAAATTCTAAAAAATACTTTTAAACTTACATTGTATCCAAATATACTCTTATTTTTTTTAGAGAAAAATAACATAATTTACTTTATAATAGACAATTTTATTTGTTATAACATCTATTCTTAAGACTGATTTAATAACCCCCAGGGAATGAAAGATTTACCACCTATATATAGCTGTGTAATTTCATATACAAGAACAATCAGCCTCCGTAGCTAATCAATCCACCGTGGACAATGTTTTGGTGGCATATATGGTTCAAGCAGATACACTACTTGGAAACAAATATATGGTCTTTTCCACATGTACATGAGGGGAAGCTTTGGCACTGTAGAATAGTGGCTACGTACTACTGATATCTCTCATGTCATGGATTGCAAAAGGGTCGTTCACAACGAACCTCAAGATCTTACAGAGTTCCAAGTTATCTTAATGCAGTGTAGACAGCTCTTGAATGCATGAGAGTACAAACTATATTAAGTGAATTTGTTGGGAGACAAGCAATTTAGTAAACCATAACTTAATCAGGCCTCTAAGTTATTTGCTACTCCTCTATTTTCTATCAACTACCTCTTTCTATTGTCAATCAGTTATCTGCTGAAATGAAATAAGTCGATTCTATTAAAACAAACACTTTTTATATGTTACTTATTTCATTAATTAACTGATTTTTCATAGAATGAAACTATTCTCTTTTTACATTTTCAAACATAATTTTCTATAACTTCTATACCCCATTCTGGTATTCTGGTATAAATACCACTTACTTAATTTGCAGATTTTTTTCTTCTTCTTTTGGGTGTTTTTAACATTATTTATTTATTTTATATTTTTCTTACTACTTTTCTACAGAAGTTTTTTTTTTTTTAATTTTGAAGAAAAAAAAATGATTGTTTTGCTTAAATTTGATGAAAATTTCCTAGACTTTTTTTCTTCCAGTCTCATACATTTTTTTGATTTAGTAATAGATACGGGTATAAAAGTTGTTAAAAAAATCTGAAAAGTATTATTAATAAACAAAAAATATATATTTTTTAATACAGCAAAAATAACTTAATAAAGTAATTAATATTTTACACTACAACTTTTTTTTTGTCATAAAAAGACCGATAACACATTAAGAAATTATAATATTATTACATTAAAATTATATATTATATGATTTTGATTTGACCTCTAAAAAAATTTCTCAAGCTTCATCATTGTATTTAGATCCTTCATTGTTTGTTTTTATTTTTCATAATTTACTCTTTGAAATGATCTATATTTTTTTTTTAGGGAACCTATATTTTTTTTAGTAACTATATCATTTGTAAGAAATGTTTACAAACTTTATTAATAACTAATTTTTATCTAAAAACTTAGTTAATTACTTTTAGTAGAATTTCCTCTCTCAACAATACTTTTTCTACACAAGACTCGAGTATAAAATCTTGTTTAAAGATATAGAGTCCAGTACCATTTAAACCAATAACTTGTTAATCAATATATTACTATATATATATGCATTATATTTTAATTTTAATCTCTATTAATTATTTTTTTACTATTTCAAAATGTTTATAAATAAAGATTAGTAAAATACATACATAAAATAATGATTTATACACACATGATCATAATATAATAATATTATACAAATAGGATAGATTAATACATGTGTGTTTCTACTATGAAGTATTCGGGTTAGTGTCTCATGGGTGAGGCATCAATTTTTTTAAAAAAACAAAATTTTATAAAATAATTTATTTTATAATAATTTGTAATAAATATTTAATAATTTAAATTTTATTTTATTTAAAATTTGAAATTCACAATTACATAAATATCCCTCGGGATAATAGTAAAAAAAAAATAACAATTTTATTATAGTTATCAGCAATAATTTCGTATCAAGCACACACATACAAATTACAAAGTCATCATTGACTTCCTCATTTGTGTGCTACTAGTGGGGAGGAGAATTAGGACTTTTACAAGTATGAGTTGGATGAGGTAATCAAAGGTTAGCAGTGACGACAACAGTGAAGGCCTCGACAGCCAGGGACGAGACAATGAAAGACATCAGGATTGTGAGGACAATGACATCAAAGTTGCAAAAATGAGATTTGGGCAAGGGAGTGGAGTTTTGAGGTTTCAATTTGGTGTCACAAAAGAGTTCGACCTTGTTGAACTTGTCGGTGATAGAGGTGATGGCAATATAGGGAGAGAAGGAGAAGGCAATCAGAGGAGGAAGATTGATAATGGAAAGTGGGTATTGCCTATGATCAACACTTGCCACCAAACTTGTCAACTTTTACGATGTTTGCAACTCTATGTAGACAAAATTCCCAAAGGGAATTTGTTTTTGTGGAATATCTTGATTTGGTCTTATGTGTGGAATGAGTCCGACGAAGCTACCGGTTGTAGATGGGATTTGGATGAGGAAGAGGAGTTTTTAAGTTTCGATTTGGTGTCTTAGAAGAATTCAACATTGTTGAGCTTGTCAATGACAAAGGTGGCGATAAGGCAAGGGGAGAAGGAGAAAGGGTTATAGAGGAGGATTGACGCTAAAAGATTTATGTTGAGTAGAGAAAAAATAAAAAGAAAATGAAAGAACATAATAATAAATTTGTAATTTATATTAATTAAAAAATATAAACCACTTAAAAAGATATTTTTATTTAGTACTTACCTAGATAATAATAAATTTACTCCATAAAATTTCAGTAATCCAATTTTAAATAATAAATTTGTGATTTATATTAATTAAAAACATATGAACCACTTAAAAAGATATTTTTATTTAATGACTTATCAATAAAGCATCTAATATTCCACGAGAGAAATAGATTTTTCTAACCAAACCAAACTGGACAAAGACATAACCACCATCAACGGTGCACGCCAACCCTTATCAGTTCTGCTTCCACTTTGATTTTCCTAATTTCTTAGGTAATCCATCACTTGAAAGTTAAAATTCTAATTACTCTACTTGGGTAGTGTGACATGGGCCATTAGATGGACCATTCGCTTCTAGATCTAAGTGCTTTTTGTTTGGACTTTGGACTTTGGACTTTGAACTAATCAAAATATAAAAAACTAAAGAGGCTTTATTAGTTTATTGCTTAAACACAATACAGACGCGAATGCTCAGTTACTCTTCCAAAACCTTGTTCACAAATAAATAAATAAATAAATAATTAAACTCTTCCAAAACCCTGAAATCTGAAAGCAATCATGGTTGCCATAGGTACCCAGTGTTCAAGCTTCGTCTCCTCATCCCGCTACTCCCTCCCCACAACTCCACCCTACCGCTCATTTCCTCTCGTTAGGATCGCCACGCCAAGAATGGAAGCATCTCGGCCCCAGGTCCAGGTCCAAGCCCAAGCCCAAGCCCAAGCCCAGGCCCAGCCCAAGCCCAAGGAGGCGAAGCTGTGGGGCGGCAGGTTCGAGGAGGGCGTAACCGACGTCGTGGAGCGCTTCACCGAGTCGATCTCCTTCGACAAGGCGCTCTACAAGCACGACATAATGGGAAGCAGAGCGCACGCTTCAATGCTCGCTCACCAGGTTCGCCAAACTTCTCTCAAATACATGCATGCATTCACTCACTCACTCGCTCTCTCTCTCTCTACGAATCGAACACTGAAGAATAATACCTAATCGTTCTTTGTTGTGGTTGCTAGGGTTTGATAAGCGCGAGCGACAGAGACTCCATTCTCCAAGGTTTGGACGAAATCGAGAGGCGCATTGAGAACGGAGAGTTCAATTGGAGAGCGGACAGAGAAGATGTGCACATGAACATCGAGGCTGCGCTCACCGACCTGATCGGCGAGCCTGCGAAGAAGCTTCACACTGCGCGCAGTAGGAACGATCAGGTTTTGACTGACTTTCGCCTCTGGTGTCGCGACGCCATTGATAAGATCCTCGTGAGCATGAAGCAGCTTCAGGTGTCGCTGCTGACGCTGGCTTTGAACAATGAGGGAGTCATTGTTCCTGGTTACACTCACCTGCAGCGCGCGCAGCCGGTTTTGCTGCAGCATCTTCTGTTGGCTTATGTTGAGGAGGTTTGCTTGGAAATTAGGACTTGTTTGTTTCATGTTTTGTTAAAAACAGTTTTCTGGTTTTCTAAATTTGGTTTGTACATTTGAGCACATTTTGAGTGTTTGTTTCCTGAATGTGTTTCTATTTTTTAGAAGTTTGTCTCTTAAACACTGGAAGAGGGCCCGAGAGGAAATACCAACAAGTTGTTGGTTTGAGTGTACTTTACCAGGTCTCTTTAAGCAAGGTGTGGGGTTGAGTCTTGTGGATGAAAAAACATGGTTGGAAGAAAAGACTTCACTAAAGGTGGCGAGTCATGTTTTTTGACAGAGATTAGTCACAAGCATGGTTATTAAAAGAGAAAAAAAAAAAATAAAGGACTTGAAGAAAACAGAAAAGGAGGATAAGAAAACATCTCCCCAGCTGTTTCTGTTTTTGGAAACAATTTTTCAAAAGTTGATAGATTTTGAAAGGGAAATTGATTGCTGAGTAGCATGGAATTGTTTTAGGAAATGGTGTTCATCAAATTTATGTGTCTTGCCAACTTCAAAGCATTTCGATGTCAGTATTAGATAGGAGAGGAATTCAACAACTGAATGGTGCTGTTCTTATATTAATGTCACTACCATGAATATGATGTGTTCTGTTATTTCATTTTTTAAAACTTTGGTTACCAGTCTTCAGCCTTTATTTTCTAGTCAAACATTGCTGGAAAATGTGTGTAACATTATTGTTGTTGTTGACTTGTTAAAAAATAGGTATTTCCATTCACTTGTGAAGGAAGCAGTCTGGATTTTGGGAGTAATTTTTTACACTCGTTTTGTTGACTGTAGACATTATTTATTATGCAGATTGAGCGTGATGCTGGACGTTTGGTAGATTGCAGAGCTAGGATGAATTTCTGCCCCTTGGGGGCTTGTGCCTTGGCTGGTACAGGGCTTCCCATTGACCGATTCATGACTTCAGAAGCTTTAGGATTTACGGCTCCCTTGAGAAATAGGTATCTAACTACATTTTATTTTGTGTGAAGTCAATCTATGTAATTATGCTTGGGATGGGATTGATGTCTAGTCTTCATGTACAATTCTTTTTACTTGCTATGCTAACTGATTTTACATTGTTATGTTAAATAGTATAGATGCAGTTTCAGATCGAGATTTTGTACTGGAATTTCTTTCTGTTAATGCCATCACAGCTGTTCATCTCTCTCGACTTGGTGAAGAGTGGGTATTGTGGGCTTCAGAGGAGTTTGGATTTATCACTCCAAGTGATTCTGTTTCAACTGGGAGTAGTATAATGCCTCAGAAAAAGAATCCAGATCCAATGGAACTTGTTCGCGGGAAGTCAGCCAGAGTCATTGGGGATCTGGTTACTCTTCTCACATTGTGCAAAGGACTTCCTCATGCTTACAACCGTGACTTACAGGTTGCTAAATAATAAAAAGAAAGTTTAACTTTTCTTTGCATGGTTTTTGGCTAGTGTGTTTCCATCGTCCATTTGTTTTCTTTCTGCACTATTTTGTCTTTGAGATTCATTAAAAAAAGTTCTTTTCTGGAAGTAGGAAGACAAAGAGCCAGTATTTGACAGTGTTAAAACTATTTTGGGGATGCTTGAGGTATCAGCAGAATTTGCACTAAAAATTACTTTCAACCGGGAAAGAATACAAAAGGCATTACCTGCAGGTCATCTCGATGCAACCACACTTGCTGATTATCTTGTCAATAAGGTAAGTCACATTCACTGATTGGTCAACTATCAATAAGCATTCTGTTTGTAATAAAAAATTGTGAGACTGAAAGCATGATAACCCATCTGGTGGAAAATTAATAGCAAGCTGCATACGAAGTTCAGATCTGAACTAAGCTCAAATCCTAGTCCATGTGACCATGTCTTTCAACAGAAAAAAAAAAAGGAAAAAAAAAAGCACATTCCCCCTTCCCATTCCAAAATCCAATTAATAAATGAAGGAAATAAATTTTACTTGATCTTATCATGTTTCAAATGCCGAATGCTATAATCTTCGGGAAATTTTTTTCATGCTAATTATAGTCAATACTCACTTGTCTTTGGTACATGCTCCCGTAAACAGTCTGTCTAGTTTTCTGGATTAGATGTCTAAACAACGAGGGCCATTTTCTTCTGTTATATATATAACACCCCTTCCCCTCCCATAGAAAAGGACTCATGCATCTCTACATTTACGTCAACAGGATTTTGCCATAGGTCTTTGAGCCTCTTACTCAATGGAAGCTGTAATTGTCAGTGCTTTGTCATAGCTCAATTTGATCTTCTGTTTTAGTATGAAACAGGCAAATATTTTAGTTTGACATTCATTGACATGTGGGAGCAAATGTAGCCATTTGTCACAGGTCTTTGAGCCTCTTACTCTATGGAAGCTGTAATTGTCAGGGCTTTGTCATAGCTCAATTTGATCTTCTCGTTTTTAGTATGAAACAGGCAGATATTTTAGTTTGACATTCATTGACATGTGGGAGCAAATGTAGCCATGCTGCACTCTGGTCGTAGTGAATATCATGACATAAAGCCCTGCATATCATAAATTCATAATATTTCTGCCTTTCTGGACACATTGCTCATTGCTGCTAACTTTTATGTTCCAACTGTATCAGAAGATTCTTTCTCTTTTCTAATTTCTGAATTATGTCTTCCTTTATCTCCTTTCTTGTGCAATTTTGCCTCATAACGTACCCTGTTTTCTTTCACATTCTAGGGTGTGCCATTTAGAACGTCCCATGATATCGCTGGAAAATCTGTTGCTTTATGTACATTGAAGAACTGCCAACTGCTGGACTTGAGTCTTGATGAACTGAGAAGTATAAATCCAGTATTTGAGGAGGATGTGTATGAATATCTTGGAGTAGAAAATGCGATCCAGAAATTTGTCTCTTACGGCTCCACAGGGTCAGCATGTGTTGCTAGCCAACTTGATTATTGGACGAAAAAACTTGAAATGAAGTGAAGATTGCCCTAATTATCATGAAATTTTCGTTGTGCTAGGGAAGCCAATTCCTGAGACTTGGAATAATAGCTCGCTGGCTTGCCAAAGACCCTGCAACACGTTATTCTGGAATTAACCAAGATGATGCCTTTGAATTGTGTAGAGCATTAGATGTTATATGCTAATTAGTCAGGGTTACTTAATAGGTAGTTCAGAATCAAATATGCCATGCCTTGGAAGTTATGAGATTCTAGCATTTTACATTATCTGTTGGACTGTAATTTCAGCATGCCGAATGAATTTTGTGTGGCTTTTAATGAAATAAAGTTCATATTAAGCCACCTGACGGCATGAGTTGATTGGGGGGAAAAGTTAAATGATTATCAATATCATAATCAGCATAATATTCGCTAAAAAAATTTACCACTTTTATCTAATATTCTTTAATTATAATTTATAAGCAATAACTAAACATAAAATTCCAAGGGGCATAAGATAATTTAGATTTTTTTTTCATTGACTTGTGGTTTAAATTTCGAAAGGGACATTATTTGTTGCAGTGATGTCAAATAAAATACATTTAGTTAAAAATTACCATCTGTAATAATATTGACTTTTATAGTTATCTTAACTGTGATTGATTGATTGACATAAATGATGATTTTTTTTTTACTTTTAATTGATTGACAATGTTTTACATCTAGGTGAAGTTTGGTTGTAGTCTGTTTTAGCAACGATGTTCTAATGTGTTATAAATTAGTCATTACTTTGGTGAAATAATATCTTATCATTTTTAGTACTCAATTAAAATACATGCAAGTTTTTTACGTACACTCAATTGTATATTATCTAATATGTATAAGTTGTTGATTTTAATTCTTGAATTATTTTTTTTATATATATTGAAAGCGTATGCAAATTAAACTCATTTAAAAGCTGGACGGTCTCCTACAAGAATATAGATCAATTCTGTTGTGCAGTCCTTCCAGGTTGATCTATTATAAATGTAATACGGAGGTGCCCTCTAGATTGTTTTGCATGAAGTACGGATAGATGATATGTAATTTATTATTATTATTTATACGCTATAAAAAAATTGTTATAAACATTTTTTTATACAAAATAAAAGATGTTAATGTTTTAAAATTTATTATAGCTTCCTCAGTTTTCTGTGTTAATAGTACAAAATATAAATTAAAATAAAAAACACACGTATAAAAAACTGAGAATTTTAAAACAACAGTTTAAAATATATAAAAAGTAACGTGGTTAATAAAAAAGGGTGATATAAAAGGCAGTCGCCTTTTAATTAATGACCATCTTAATCTGTGGCCTATTTATACAAACCATACACGAGCCCAACAAATTGCACTGGGCAATTTTATATTTTTAATTTAGTTGTGAACCCCCAAGTTAAATGACGTCAAACAGTGGGCTTTTTACTCAAGTAGTCAAATTGTGTTGAACAGCTTTGTTGCCCTTCGGCCATGTCGTGCGTATCAAACATGTGTGTTTGGACGTGGGTGTGTGAAATTGATTTTGAAGCAACATAATTTTGTAAAATTAAATCTAGATAAACATGAATTTAAAGTAACGTTTTTTTTTTAATAATATGTATTAAAAATTAATTTTCCTAGATAATATTATTTACAAACTTGCATTCTTACAATCTGAATCGAATTTAAGTGTGATTAGTAAAATAAGTTTTAATGTCCATATGTAATTTTTAACACATTTTAGTATTGTAATTATATATACTAGAGGAGTCGATACACTTCATGCCTCTAATAATTATACACAAATAACATGTTATAAGAAAGTTGCATATAGTTATTTAAAGAAGATATATATATATATATATATATATATATATATATATATATATTTAAGAGGTATAATAATTCCCTAAAAAGTGAAGACCAAAAGCGATCCTGATATTCTTTTTTTTTTTTT